CACACACACACACACACACACACACACACACACACACACACACACACATCTTCGGAGAGTGAGTTTGGAGTCACAAAATACTGTGGAAGTGACGAACCACAGGGTCTCAATCTCTGATAAAACCACACACATACACGTGCGCAAGCACAAAAGCGTAAATCCGCTGTGCAACCTCCACGTGGTACGCTTTGGGTAACGCTAATGCCGGCGATAATTTTTTTTTATTTTCTGAAGTTTTTAGCCAATTGAAAAAAATTAAAAAAAAAAAAATTTTTTTCAAAAATTTTCGATTTTTTTTTTTTTAAATTTTCCAAGTCACTAATACAGAATTGAGAAAAAAATGAAAAAAAATTTTTTTTTTCATTTTGATAAAAATTATGACATTTTCAGAGCGAAATTCTTGCTCCTTTAATTTTTTCAAAAATTCGATCAAGTGGGAAAAAAAACGGTTGGCTGGATTGAATTGAAACTTCGTAGGGTTTTTGTGGGTATATTGAACAGTAAAAGGCATACTTAACATTAGTAGTTTCCGCAATATTTTTGATTGGGCGCTTGACTTTCCAAAAAACGACAAAAAGCCCTTTTTTGGATGCTTTTTCAAATTCATGTAATGATTGAAAAAAAATTTTTTTTTCAAAATTCAATTCCCAATTGTAGAGAATTTATTCAAGTTTTTGAAACCAACCTCAAAATTTCTGTGCGATCTTTGGTTGCTGAGATATTGGTAATCAAAGACAAAATGATCTTTTTCCATTCAAACACCGATATCTCAGCGAGAAATGCTCGTATCGACATTTATAAAAAACCAAATTCAAGCTGAATAAACAAGCTATCCGGTCCATATGGAGGTTAAGTCGAAAAAATTTTTTTCACGTCCGTAGATTAAAAAAAAAAACCAAATAAATTTCGAAAATTCTTTTTTCGATGGTTGTCTTATGATTACTCGAAAAATATTTTCAAAAAAAAGTTTTAAAACTCAGATCCAAAAACTAGACACTTAGAGCTACAATTTGCTTTTTTTTTTGCTGTACGACCATTTTTGTATAAGTTACAGCCTGTTGAAAATCCCCCGAAAATTTGGATTTTTTTTCTGCTCCCTTAATTTTTGTGAGAAGTGTATTAATTCTTTTTAATAATTTTATTGTTTGGCAAAAGTTCTCACGTGTGCCAGTTATAATTGTTTTATTTACTTACAATGTTCTGCGTCCTTGATTGACCCTTTCGGTTGAATAGAACGGTCGTAGCAAATAGACAAGTGAATGGCGGTAATTCAATAATGATGTATAACGATGATAACGATAAACTTAACTTTATTTCACAAAAATAACACTTTAAATAAGACTTGTAATGTCTCGGTAACGCAATTAATGAAATATTTAATTAACTGAATACTTATACTTAAAACTATAATTGATTAAATAGTAATGATAATAAACGTGGTGAATAATCACCTAATATAAAATTAATAATATAGATAGAAAATAATTAGGATTATTAGTTTAGACAACAAACTTTTAGATTATTTAAGGTTCTGGTGAGTAGTCACCTTATAGTAGTATAAAAGAATATTAAATGAATTGGTAGTAAGTTTTATAAATTTTAGTATGTTTTGGTGAGTAATCACCTAATAGTAGTAATAGAAGTATAGTGGTAAATTGACTAAGAAATACCTAACGTGGTAGTTAACACCGGGGGATAGATCGAAGTGTCGATCAATGCTCATGTTCTGAGGTTCGTATCTGATTTTCCCCTCCTCGTGTCGTCCTGTAACTTCACGGGAGCTACACATTATTTTAGCTAGTGTCGGTAACGGAAATTTCAGGTGGTAGTTCGCTAGGCTGATAAAGTCGGGACATTTTGCAGTGTCTCAATCCTTCCTGACAAGC